TTTTTCTTTTCTTCCTTCTTTCTCTAACTTTCCTTCCTTCCCCTTTCTTTTCTCTCTCTTTTCCTTCCTTCCTGTCTTTCCTAGATTTTGACAGAGCGGGAAGGGGCGGGGTGGGGTTTGGAGGGGGCGTGAAGTAAAAGGAGGTAAGATTGGGGGGGGGGAGTGATGGAGCGTGGGGTTGTGTGTGTGTGCAGGGCGGGGGGAGTGATGGAGCGTGGGGTTGTGTGTGTGTGCGGCGGCGGGGGGAGTGATGGAGCGTGGGGTTGTGTGTGTGTGTGCGGCGGGGTGTGTGTGCGTGAAGCGGCGCGGCAGGGCTTGGAGTGGGCATGGCTTCCGCAGAGGGAACTGTGCGCGCGCCAGGGAACTTGCGGCTGGGCACCAATGTGCATGCTCAGTTGTTTTGCCGTTTTGTGAGTGTGTTGTTGTGTTGTTTTTCATTTTGAGTAGATATGTTTGTACCTTATGGGTTGTGTTATGGGCATGGGAATTTTGGTTAAGTTTCGTTGGGGGGTTTGTGAGTTTTGTTGTTTTGCCGTTTTGTGAGTGTGTTGTTGTGTTGTTTTTCATTTTGAGTAGATATGTTTGTACCTTGTGGGTTGTGTTATGGGCATGGGAATTTTGGTTAAGTTTTGTTGGGTTTTTTTGAGTTTTGTTGTTTTGCCGTTTTGTGAGTGTGTGTTGTGTTGTTTTTCATTTTGAGTAGATATGTTTGTACCTTGTGGGTTGTGTTATGGGCATGGGAATTTTGGTTAAGTTTCGTTGGGGTTTTTTTGAGTTTTGTTGTTTTGCCGTTTTGTGAGTGTGTTGTTGTGTTGTTTTTCATTTTGAGGAGATATGTTTGTACCTTGTGGGTTGTGTTATGGGCATGGGAATTTTGGTTAAGTTTCGTTGGGGGGTTGTGGAGTTTTGCTGTCCGGTTGAACCAACCTAACAGATTTATATATATAGATGGTCACTTGTTGGCCTGATAGGTGTCTTATGTCCAAATTTGGTATCAATTCGTCCAGTGGTTTTTGAGTTATGATAATCCCACAAACTAACATTACATTTTTATTTATATAGACTAGCTGTCCCCTGCCACGCGTTGCTGTGGCCCAGTCTGGTGATCTGAAAAATAAAGTAATGAGAAAGTGTTGGTTTCTAATATATGTAATTTCTTTCTGCTTGTGGGTAAACAGTATTTCTTGCTGTTTCTTTGTCAGGGTTGATGTGGAGATTGTCTGGTTTTCCCACTCTGGAACATGCAACAGATCATGATTTTGTCATTTGAGAGTTGTCGTTGCAGGGATTTATAGTTCACCTACAAACAAAGCATTCTGAACCCCACCAACGATGGAAATGAACCAAACTTGGCACACAGCTCTCCCATGACCAACAGAAAATACTGGGAGGGTTTGGTGGGCATTGACCTTGAGTTTGGGAGTTGTAGTTCACCTACATCCAGAGATCACTGTGGACTCAAACAATGATGGATCTGGACCAAACGAATACTCAATATGCCCAAATGTGAATACTGGTGGAGTTTGGGGAAAATAGAATCTTGACATTTGGGATTTGTAGTTGCTGGGATTTATAGTTCACCTACAATCACAGAGCATTCTGAACCCCACCAACAATAGAATTGGGCCAAATCTCCCACACAGAACCCCCATGTGGGCCACAGCAATGCGTATCGGGACAGCTAGTAGTGTTATAATTGTTCAGTGCAGAAGGGCATTGGAAGAGAGGAGAGGGCTGTTTTGATGTAGAATCATAGAGTTGGAAGAGACCACATGGGCCATCCAGTCCAACCCCTTGCCATGCAGAAAAGCACAATCAAAGCACCCCTGACAGATGGCCATCCAGCTTCTGTTTTAAAGCTTCCACCATACTCTGAAGCATAGAATTCCACTGCTGAGCAGCTCTCAGAGTCAGGAAGTTCTTCCTAATGTTCAGGTGGAATCTCAGGTGTAATTCAATCTTCAAGGGGTAAAAATCAGTCTACAAAAGTTGAAACGGAAGGGGGATATAGGCATTGCTTTTTAATCTTAGGGATGGAAAGTGTATGGCCTGTTTACAGGTACGTGACATTATTTTGCTTCCCAGCCCGACCTTCCCCAGCTCCAAAGTGGGAAATTGGCATCCTCCAGTCCCAACTGTCTTGCAGAAAAGGAAATAAATATACTCTGGAAAACTGAGAAGTCAGTACTGGATGGGACTTTTATAGGGTGGGCCAAAAGTCACAAAGGCATTATGTAGTTTTGATTTACAGTCGAATTTAGCAAGGTGTAACCTGCTGAAGGCTTAAAATTAGTGCCCACACACATGTTAATTGCTACTTCCTGCCCTAGATTTAGATCTTATTAACTAAATAGATGGCAGTGTACTGTTCTGACACTTACAAAATCATGGGTTCCATCAGTTCTTTGTTGTTCCAACCTCTTTTCAAGGCAGAATGTTATGGTTGTCTTCAGAATGACATATACCACGTAGTGGGGCAGTATAATGGTTTGAAAGGGGTGTGTGTGTGTTGAGAAACCAGGATAACCTTAATGTATTTCCTCCAAATGACAGTCCGCCATCCACACTCACCAATCAGCTTACAATTAAAACTCTATTAAGATGTATAGAATGCCCTAGTTGTTTCAAATAGTAATATTGGCCTGGTGGTAGTTATGGCTCTCAGTAAAGAACGTTATTAAAATTTGTCATTTTAATATACATGATTGTTTATGTGTTACATTGGAACTGCAAGACTTAATAATAATAATAAACTTTTATTTATACCCTGCTACCATCTCCCGCAGGACTCGGTGCGGCTTACAAAAGGCCGAGCCCAAATACATCATAAAAACATAACAGCAATACAACAATAAATAACTTATAACAAAGCAAAAAACAGTACAATAATGACACGACGCATTTAAAAACCTGTGGCAGGGCCAAGTGCAAAGGTTAAAAGTAAAAATGCTGGGCATGTCCAAGGGAAATAGGATGGATACTTTAGGATAGGTGGGTGTGCAGACCATTCTCTCATAATGTGCATTTGGGACATATTGCTTAGGATTCCTTATTCTGGGAAGGCACACTGGAACATCCACGTTTTCAAGCTCCTTCTAAAGACTGCCAATGTTGGGGCTTGCCTGATGTCCTTGGGGAGGGAATTCCAGAGTCATGGGGCCACCACCGAAAAGGCCCTGTCCCTCGTCCCCACCAATCGCGCTTGCGATGCAGGTGGGATCGTGAGCAGGGCCTCTCCAGATGAACGAAGAGATCGTGTGGGTTCGTATACAGAGATGCGGTCACGCAAGTAGATGGGTCCCAAACTCATCTACTTGGGTGTTGTTGCCTTGCTGTCTAAGCCTTTTAACACCGATGGTGTGAAAAAGCCACAAAGGAAAAATGGGAATAGCAGGCTTACAAAATCCACCCTAGGGGACATCTACCCCTTTTACGCTGCCATATAAAATCCACATTATTTGCTTTGAACTGGATTATTTGGCAGTGTAGACTCATACTTACTTTACTTACTTACTTACTTACTTACTTACTTAAGAGATCCATCGCTGGCCGAGTAGGATAGTCTTCCAGGATCAGTGTTCTGGTGGGTCCATAGGTGACTGTGGAGCCCTATTCTTGATCTGCGTCTTCTCCCGCAGTGAGGGCATTGGTTTCCAGGTGGAAGGCGGTCTCAATCGAGATTGGCTTGACACACCTTCCTCTGGGCACGTTTCTTTCTCTTTCGCCCTCCATTTGTGCCTCTTCAAATTCTGCAGCACTGCTGGTCACAGCTGACCTCCAGCTGGAGTGCTCCCAGTTCTCAGTGTCTATGCCAGAGTTTTTAAGGTTAGGTTCGCTTCAAGGCCATCTTTAAATCTCTTTTCCTGTCCTCCAATATTCCATTTTCCGTTCTTGAGTTTGGAGTAGAGGAACTACTTTGGGAGATGGTGGTCGGGCATCCGGACAATGTGGCCGGTCCAGCGGAGCTGATGGCGGAGGACCATCGCTTCAATGCTGGTGGTCTTTGCTTCTTTCAGCACGCTGACGTTTGTCCGCCTGTCTTCCCAAGAGATTTGCAGGATTTTTCGAAGGCAATGCTGATGGAATCGTTCCAGGAGTTGCATGTGACATCTGTTTTCTGCTTCCCTGGAGACTAGGATGCGAAACAATGGCTTCAAACTACAAGGAGATTCCATCTGAACATTAGGAAGGACTTCCTGTGAGAGCCGTTCAGCAGTGGAACTCTCTGCCCTGGAGTGTGGTGGAGGCTCCTTCTTTGGAAGCTTTTAAACAGAGGCTGGATGGCCATCTGTCAGGGGTGATTTGAATGCAATATTCCTGCTTCTTGGCAGGGGGTTGGACTGGATGGCCCATGAGGTCTCTTCCAGCTCTTTGATTCTATGATTCTAAGAAAAATTCAAACTCTCTTTGTAATGATGGAATATAATATAGTACTGTCTTGTTCGCTGTATAAATTATTGTAGCCTTCCACATTTGCTGGGATTATGGGAAGAGACCACAAAAAAACCCACTTTTATCTGGGAAAATACTTCTTTAGGAATCTCAAGGTCCTTCATTGTTACCCTATGGTCAACTTCTGCAGGAAACTGACCACAGAATCACTCTGGAGGAACTACAAATACCCTAGATCAGTGGTTCTCAACCTGTGGTCCACAGGTGTTTTGGCCTACAACTCCCAGTTTACCAGCTGTTAGGATTTCTGGGAGGTGAAGGCCAAAACATCTAGGGACACACAGGTTGAGGACCACTGCCATAGTGGTTCTGTCTAGGAATCTCTTGGTCCTCCAACACAACTCTCTGGCAGAGATTGACGCTAGAGGACCGAGATGTTCCCAGGAAGATTAATCGTATCTACAAATGATCAAAAGTGAAATCCACACATATGGAAGGCTGGCTGTAATTTTCCAACCAGCCGTTATTACATCCTTTGTGTGTGTGTCTACAAAAAGTTTACAAAAACTTTCCAGTCTTTTCCAGTGTTCTGATTTGTCGTTCTTTAGGTGCCTCCTGACCCACTGTGTGCCTCAAAGGGGACCTCGGAGTATTAGCAAGTCACAAAGCTGGTCTTGTGAAAGAGATCTGAAAAGTGCTGAGTTTGGAACTCCAGGATGGGTAAGGAGGGGGGTGAAACTGTTGTGAGCACCGGGAAGCCACAAAAGTATCTTTAAGCCTTGTTTTTCTGCTTCTCTAGCAGGGGTTGGATAATTAAGATGGGATTACTTACCTAGCAGAACTGAGGGTAGTTGGTTTAGCATGCTTATCTCTCTTAACTTGGATAAATCACAGGAATGTCTGTATCACATGAGAGGGTGTCACTCCCCATGACCTGAAGCTGGGACTGCTGCTGTTTTCTCTCCTTTTAGAGACGCAGAAGCTGCTAACCTCAATGAATAGTTATGGGTCCCAGGATAGCGATACGAGGCCCATCTTAGGGCCTCCGTCTTTTCATCCCGAGGAAGAGGAACTCCGCAGGCGCCTCAAGTACTTCTTCATGAGCCCCTGTGACAAGTTTCGTGCCAAGGGCCGGAAACCATTTAAGTTAGTCCTGCAACTGATCAAGATCATTATCGTCACAGTCCAGGTATGTGAGAAAGAGGGAACCTTATAAAATATCAAACAACTTTCTGTATTGTCGAAGGCTTTCATGGCTGGGATCACTGGGTTGTTGTAGGTTTTTCCGGGCTATATGGCCATGTTCTGGAAGCAATTTTTCTCCTGACGTTTCGCCTGCATCTATGGCAAGCATCCTCAGAGGTAGTGAGGTCTGTTGGAAGTAGGAAAATGGGTTTATATATCTAGAATCATAGAATCAAAGAGTTGGAAGAGACCTCATGGGCCATCCAGTCCAACCCCCTGCCAAGAAGCAGGAATATTGCATTCAAATCACCCTGACAGATGGCCATCCAGCCTCTGTTTAAAAGCTTCCAAAGAAGGAACCTCCACCACACTCCGGGGCAGAGAGTTCCACTGCTGAACGGCTCTCACAGTCAGGAAGTTCTTCCTCATGTTCAGATGGAATCTCCTTTCTTGTAGTTTGAAGTCATTGTTTCGCGTCCTAGTCTCCAGGGAAGCAGAAAACAAGCTTGCTCCCTCCTCCCTGTGGCTTCCTCTCACATATTTATACATGGCTATCATATCTCCTCTCAGCCTTCTCTTCTTCAGGCTAAACATGCCAAGCTCCTTAAGCCGCTCCTCATAGGGCTTGTTCTCCAGACCCTTGATCATTTGAGTCGCCCTCCTCTGGACACATTCCAGCTTGTCAATATCTCTCTTCAATTGTGGTGCCCAGAATTGGACACAATATTCCAGGTGTGGTCTCTTGAAAAACTGTAACAAAATATGCTGCAGGATGTTCTTCAAAAACAAAGTTTTTGCAGTTCAATAAAAATTTTCTATGTTTTTATGAAAGAATCAATTAGGAAATGACATGTACAACCCAGGGACAAACCTTGTGTTACATAGTACGCATAATTATCAGGCTAGGCTCTGGTTAAACTTTAGCCAAGCAACTAACTGCCTAGTTTTTTGTGATCACATTTACTCCAATAGCAATGAGCTGTAAAAATATTTACCTTAAATAACACTGATGTTATTTTTAAAAGTTTAATAAATAAAGCACCCATGTTATTGGAGGAAGAAAATCTTTAGTATTTTTAGCATTTTTTACATGAAAAATGACAGAAAAATCAGATCTTCCATTTAAACTAACACGAACAATAATTGGTAATGTCAAGGGATGTGCTTGATGTTTCACAGTATTTATATTAATGAATAACTTTTCCCAAAGCATCGGTGTGTTCAGCAATACGCAGAGTTTGTTTTAGACCAGATCAGCACAATCTGTGGCCCTCCAGGTGTTTGGATTTCAGCTCCCAAAATTCCTGACCATTGGGCAAGCTGGCAAGGGCTTCTGGGAGTTGGAGGCCCAAACACCTGGAGGGTCACAAGTTGTGCCAGCCTGTTTTAGACTGTTTAGCCTGTAACAAAGTCATCTACCTGCTGACTACTGGTGAAGAGTTTTGCCTGCCTAGAAAGCAGAGTTTCTGGGAGCCACATGATACCATCATATGCATTTTGCAGCATGAACCTGTGCAGAGTTCGGCACGTATAGGCTCACTGATTACAATAGGCGCTCTATAGTTTGAGTTCCTATCAAAGCCCAGACTTGGAGAAACAGAATCTCCTTGTAATGGAAAGTATGTCATGCACTTAACAAAGCAGCAGCAGACAGAGTTCCTCAGGCACTTTGCTGAATTTGGAATCGAATTGAGAAGGAGCTCACAAAGAAGGAAGAATATGATTACATGCACAGTATGAAGCTAATCCTGAACTGAACTAGGCCATTGATATGTCTGCCTCTGCGTTTTGAATGGCTTCACTCTCCAACTGGGGAAAACATGTGCAAACCCAGAGTTGGCATCTGGTATCGAGCGTCTCTGCGGAAGAAACCAGGCAAACTTCCTGAAAAAGTAGCAGGGCTCAGGTTGCATTGCAGCAGGTGGTCAGTGGTTTGCTCTTCTCCACACTCGCATGTTGTGGACTCCATTCTGTGGCCCCATTTCTTAAGTTTGGCTTTGCATCTTGTCGTGCCAGAGCGCAGTCTGTTCAGCGCCTTCCAAGTCGCCCAGTCTTCCGTGTGCCCAAGGGGGAGTCTCTCATTTGGTATCAGCCATTGGTTGAGGTTCTGGGTTTGAGCCTGCCACTTTTGGACTCTCACTTGCTGACGTGTTCCAGCGAGTGTCTCTGTAGATCTTAGAAAACTATTTCTTGATTAAAGTCGTTGACGTGCTGGCTGATGCCCAAACAAGGGATGAGCTGGAGATGTCACTGCCTTGGTCCTTTCACTATTGGCTGCTACTTCCCAGCAGATGTCAGATGGTGCAATATCAGCTAAACAGTGTAATTTCTCCAGTGGTGTAGGGTGCAGACACCCCATGATAATGCGGCATGTCTCATTAAGAGCCACATCTACAGTTTTAGTGTAGTGAGATGAGTTCCACACTGGGCATGCGTATTCAGCAGCAGAGTAGCATAGCGCAAGAGCAGATGTCTTCACTGTGTCTTGTTGTGATCCCCAGGTTGTGCCAGTCACCATCTGTAAAATTCTGTGAATATGGAAGGATGAAATGCTGTGTTGGAAAGCACCCTGAGGCCCCTTCCACACAACTGTATAAAATCCCTCATTATATGCTTTGAACTGGTTTATATGACAGTGTTGACTCAAATAACTCAGTTCTAAGCAGATATTGTGGATTATCTGCGTTGATATTCTGGGTTGTATGGTTGTGTGGCAGGGCCCCGAGTCTCTCATACCACAAAAGTGGTATTTAAGCTTGCTTGTTGTAATTAACCCCAAGACATTATGCTTCACTGAGTTTTGTCCTTGACTCAGAGACTAGGGAATAAACAGAAGAGGGCAGTGGCCCTGAGTTGAGTGCCTGGAGCAGTGTTTCTCAACCTGGGGGTCGGGACCCCTGGGGGGGGGTCGTGAGGGGGTTTCAGAGGGGTCGCCACAGACCATCAGAAAACACATATTTCTGATGGTCTTAAGAACCCTTTTGGCAGAGAAGGCTGAAGATCTCTCTGCCTGTCCTCATCCTTGTTGGTGTTGGTGAATGACAACTCCCAGAATTCAAAAACAGCCCCCCACCCCACCCCACCAGTAGTTAATGTTGGCCATGTCGTTAGTGTGCCAGGTTTGGTGCAGATCCATTTTGGGCTGGGTTCAGAGTGCTATTTGATTATAGGTGAACTATAAATCCCAGCAATTACAACTCCCAAATGTCAAGGTCTATTTCCCCCAAACTCCACCAGTGTCCACATTTGGGCATATTGAGTATTCATGCCAAGTTTGGTCCAGATCCATCACTATTTGAGTCCACAGTGCTCTCCGGATGTAGGTGAACTACAACTTCCAAACTCAAGATCAATGCCCAACAAACCCTTCCAGTACTTTCTCTTGGTCTTGGGAGTTCTGTGTGCCAAATTTGGCTTGATTCTTTTGTTGGTGGAGTTCAGAATGCTCTTTGATTATAGGTTAACTATAAATCCCAGCAACTACAACTCCCAAATGACAAAATGAATCCCTCCCAACTCCCCCACTTTTCAAATTTGGGCATATTGGCTATTTGTGTCAAATTTGGTCCAGTGAATGAGAATACATCCTGCATATCAGATATTTACATTACGATTCATAACAGTACCAATGGAAATAATGTTATGGTTGGGGGTCACCAACACATGAGGAACTGCATTAAGGAGTCACGGCATTAGGGAGGCTGAGAACCACTGTCCTAGAGGAACCAGCTCTACTCACATCTCAAAGATATGCTTCCAGGGTGAGGGATGTTAGGGTAGCCGGACACCCATTGAGGCCCCATCTACACTGCCATATAATCCAATTTATGACTTCAGATTATCTACTTTGAACTGGATTATATGGTAGTATAGACTCATCTAATCCAGTCCAAAGCAGATAATCTGGATTATATGACAGTGTAGATCCAGCCTGAGAGCTAGGCATTGGAAATAAACTCCTGTTCTCACAAGTGGCTCAGGAAACCATCCCAGAGCCTTGGATGGTTTGCTAAATCAGGCATCTCATCTTTGAGATTATTACATTCTACTCAGCTAGGTCTGTGTTCTTTTCTTTCCATTTCTACAGCTCATTCTCTTTGGCCTCAGTAACCAAATGGTGGTGACCTTCAAAGAGGAGAACACTATTACATTCAAGCACCTCTTCCTGAAGGACTATGCAGACGGGGCAGAGGATACCTATGCCGTGTATACACAGGCAGATGTCTATGACCACATGTTTTATGCTGTAGATAAGGTAAGAAGGGGCACAGTGGTGCTGGTGCATGGGTTATGGGCCATGGTAGGATGCAGAGGGAATTAATTGGGACTGCTGTGGTGGCGTCAACTTTTCCTTGCAGTATTTGTCCGTTCAGAATGAGACAATCGGTCGCTATGCCTATGTGCGTACACACGGTGTTAACCAGTCAGCCCTCATGCTCTGCCAGCAATATTATCGCAAAGGAAGCATTGATCCTGCCAATGACACCTTCAACATCGATCCAAAAGTTATCACAGGCAAGTACTTGTGTTCCCCTGAGCCTCATGTATCCTACGAGCTCTGCTTCATCTGAAATGGGAGTGGTGCTTTCCCTGTTTTGCAACCCATTCCTCCATTTGCTTCTCATAAGGCTTCAAGGTAAGGCAGATGTTTTTCTCTGTAGCATTACCCAGTTCTCTCTAGAGTCTTGGGCCCCTCCTATATCCATGAAATAATCCACATTTTCTGCTTTGAACTGGATTATATGAGTATACACTGCCTTATAATCCAGTCCAAAAAAGGTAATCTGGATTTTATATGGCAATGCAGAAGGTCCCTCGGATTTGGGTTGTTGTAGGTTTTTCCGGGCTATATGGCCATGTTCTAGAGGCATTTTCTCCTGACGTTTCGCCTGCATCTATGGCAAGCATCCTCAGAGGTAGTGAGGTTTGTTGGAAGTAGGAAAATGGGTTTATATATCTGTGGAATGACCAGGGTAGGACAAAGAACTCTTGTCTGCTGGAGCGAGGTGTGAATGTTTCAACTGACCACCTTGATTAGCATTTAATGGCTTGGAAGTGCCTGGGGGGAATCTTTTGTTGAGAGTGATTTGATGTGCCTGATTGTTTACTCTCTGTTGTTTTGCTGTTGTCATTTTTGAGTTTTTTTAAATACTGGTAGCCAGATTTTGTTCATTTTCATGGTTTCTTCCTTTCTATTGAAATTATCCACATGCTTGTGGATTTCAGTGGCTTCTCTGTGTAGTCTGACATGGTGGTTGTGAGAGTCAAGGTGGTCAGTTCACACCTAGCTCCAGCAGACAAAAGTCCTTTGTCCACCCTGGTCATTCCACAGATATATAAACCCATTTTCCTACTTCCAACAGACCTCACTACCTCTTATGATGCTTGCCATATATTAAAGATTTAAAGATGGTCTCAAAGCCAACCTTAAAAACTCTGGCATAGACACTGAGAACTGGGAAGCCCTGGCCCTTGAGCGCTCCAGCTTGAGGTCAGCTGTGACCAGCAGTGCTGCAGAATTCGAGGAGGCATGAGTGGAGGGTGAAAGAGAGAAACATGCCAGGAGGAAGGTGCATCAAGCCAACCCTGACCGGGACCGCCTTCCACCTGGAAACCAATGCCCACACTGCGGAAGAAGATGCAGAGCAAGAATAGGGCTCCACAGTCACCTACGGATCCACAAGGAAACCCATAATGGAAGACCATCTTACTCGTCCAACGAGTAAGTAAGGCGAAACGTCAGGAGAAAATGCCTCTAGAACATGGCCATATAGCCCGGACAAACCTACAACTACCCAGTGATTCCGGCCATGAAAACCTTTGACAATCCCTCGGATTTGCTTTGTTCATTTTTATTTTTTATTTATTTTTATTTATTTACTATATTTCTATACTGCCATTTTCAGCCCAAGGGCGACTCATGGCAGTTTACAAAACGGCACAATTCGATGCCCACAACAATACAAAGATAATTAAACATTAAAAACATTTAACATAGATAAAAAAAAATCATTACAAACGACATCAATAAAACATAATAAAAAACAATAATTCCTCCGCATTTTATTTTTCCCTATCCTATATTGACATGTTTTTACTTATGCTGACCAGCACAAGTTAAGGATGGGTGTCTCATAGAAGGTGGGCATCTGGGGATGTATTTGTTTTCACAGAGTTGGAGACATTACTTTTCACTACAATCTGAATTATTCCCCAGCAAACTTGGCATGGCCACTGACCTCAGTAGTTCTGGGAGTTTTAACTGCAAATGTAACTTCACTAAGCTTTGTATTGAATAATAAAGAGCAAGTGACAGGTGCAACTTTATGCGGCAAGGTAGGACACAATTGCTTTTGACCAACCGAGGTCAGTACCCACAAGCATGTACACTCCCATGCTTTCATGTGCAATCTCTCCATGGATAATGTCTCCTTTCTTTGCAGAGTGCCTGGGTGTGGATCCACCAGGGAAAATACCTTCTTCGCTGGACCTTGAGGAGTCACCTCCAAACTCTGAGGAGCCAGATCGCAGCTACAGAAATTTTACTCTCAAGTTCTACAAGTAAACATTTTCTTCATATTTACAGCAGTCCTCAAGAGTTTACGGGCCAATCTATATATATAAAAATGCTCTGTGCATAATGAGTGGCTTAAAAACAAAAAAACTGCGGGGCCAAATGACCCCAAATTTGGCAATAAAACTCCTCACAATCCAAGGAGTGACCATCACTGAAAAAAACCCCACAAAACACCTTTAAATTCAAAAAAGGGAGAGGACAACACACCTCCCCTGCCCCCCCCCCATGCTGAGGACACAGAATGAGGGTTCTGAAGCAGCTGCTGCGGCAATGGTTGCTACTTCCTGATTAAAGGGCAGAGGCTGAGGAGAAGGAGAAGGGGAGGAGGGAAGTGAAGAGAGAGGGGGGAAGGAAAAAAGAGGGAGGCGGGCCACACTCTGTGCACACACACTGATTCCCCCCCACACACACACACACGCTCCCACAGCACAAGGGAAGGAGGAAGGTGCCATGATGGGGTAATAGGGACACACAAAACTGACATTGCTTGGAAAGGAGCTCCAAAGACCATCCAGCCCAACCTCATTTGGCAGTAAATGAAGACACCATCAAAGCCCTCACAACAGATGGCCAACCAGTTGGAAGGGAGCCCTAAAGGCCATCCAGTCCAACCCCCTCCTTCCCTCCCTCCCTCCCTCCCTCTCTTTCCACTCCTCCCTCACTTTCTTTCCTTCCCTCCCTTTCTTTCCTTCCTTTTTCTCCTCCCCTCACCAGCTTCATCCTCCTTTATTAAATCTACAGTGTAGATGCACCCAAAGTCACCCCTTCCACACTGCCATGCAAAATCCAGATTATCTACTTAGGACTGGATTATATGGCAGTGTAGACACATGCACACACGTACATGCACACACACACACACACGTACATGGATGGATGGATGGATGTTGGATCACTGGTTGGTGTGTGTGTGTATATATGTGTATATATATATAATTACAATACTTTATATATTACTATATATATATATATTGCTATATAATACATATATATTATATTATGTATATTATTGTTATATATACTACTATATAATATAATGTTACTACTATATATTACTATATTAAATAGACTCATAGAATAGAGTTAGAAGGGACTCTACCATGGTATTGTGGGAGAACAGACAGGAAGGAAGGAGAGAAGATAGGAGGGAGGGAAAAGTGGAAGGAATGAAGGTGGGAAAGGGGGAAGGAAGGAAAGAGAGAAGGAGGGAGGGAAAGAAAGAAGCAGGGAAGGAGAGAAGTAAGGAAAGCAAGAGGTACTGAAGGAAGGAAGAAGAGAAAGAAGAAAGAAAAATGGAGGCAAATGCAGGAAAGAAGTAAAGAAAGAAGGAAGGAGAAAATAAAATAAAAAAGTGAAAGAAGGAAGGTATTGGGGGAGAACAGACAGGAAGGAAGGAGAGAAGAAAGGAGGGAGGGGAAAAGAGAAGGAATGAAGGAGGGAAGGGGGGAAGGAAGAAAAGAGAGAAGGAGGGAGGGAAAGAAGGAAAGAGGGAAGGAAGGAGAGAAGTAAGGAAAGCAAGAGGTACTGAAGGAAGGAAGAAGAGAAAGAAGAAAGAAAAATGGAGGCAAATGCAGGAAAGAAGTAAAGAAAGAAGGAAGGAGAAAATAAAATAAAAAAGTGAAAGAAGGAAGGAAACAGGGAGGGGAAAAAAGGAGACAAAGGAAGAAGTAGAGAAAGGGGGAGGGAAGGAAGGAAAGACAGAAGGAAGGATGAAACCAAAGAGCGAAAGAAGGAATGAAAGAACGAGGTAGAGAAGGAAGAAAGGAGAGAAAGGGGAAGGGGAAGAAAAAGGGGGGAAGGAATAGGTAGGTACCTCTCTTTCATAATAGTCCAGATATCTACCTCTACTTCGAAAATTCTTACTATAGGCCACAGCAATGCGTGGCAGGGCACAGCTAGTGTTTATCTAAAAACCAATGTGAGAACTCTGTTATTTTTAAATAATTGAGACTACTTGTCTATTACTGTTTTTTTAAAAATCTTTAGAGATTTGAAACATTGCCGACTGTTCTTATCAGCTAGCATCCTTCAGCTGTTTATTGCCTTAAACTTAAATAGTTTGGTGCCAGTTGACTGCTCCATTTCTAGTGCCTTTGAAGAGTACAATTTCTAGTCCCAACTAGGCCACGCTCAGACAACAATTGTTTGGTTATATAAACTCCAATGATGGTACAAAAGTAGACCTATGCAACTAAATTAGGCCATTGTCTCATTTCTCCCCCACGACTCATTGCTTAAACAGCTACACTAAATGGGTTGCTGTAGGTTTTTCAGGCTATATGGCCATGTTCTAGAGGCATTCTCTCCTGACGTTTCGCCTGCATCTATGGCAAGCATCCTCAGAGGTAGTGAGGTCTGTTGGAACTAGGAAAGTGGGTTTATATATCTGTGGAATGACCAGGGTGGGACAAAGGACTCTTGTCTGTTGGAGCTAGGTGTGAATGTTTCAACTGACCACCTTGATTAGCATTTGATGGCCTGGCAGTGCCTGGGGCAATCTTTGGTTGAGAGGTGATTAGATGTCCCAGATTGTTTCCTCTCTGTTGTTTTGTTGTTTTAATATTAGAGTTTTTAATACTGGTAGCCGGATTTGAAATCCACAAGCATGTGGACAATTTCAACAGAAAGGAGGAAACCATGAAAATGAACAAAATCTGGCTACCAGTATTAAAAATAAATAAATAAATAAAATTAATTAAAAAAAATAGGCCAAAACGTTTCAAGGAGACCTACATTTTCAGTCCAGTCTCAAGACAGAGATTAAAACTGGTTCTAAAATGCAAATCTCTTGTCCATGGAGATGTTTGGGAAGTCAGAGTAGAATGACGGTGGGCCTTCAACTCAATGTGTGGCTCTGGACAAACTCTTTTCTCTCTGGATTGTTGTAGGTTTTTTCAGGCTATTTGGCCATGTTCTAGAGGCATTCTCTCCTGACGTTTCGCCTGCATCTATGGCAAGCATCCTCAGAGGTAGTGAGGTCTATTGGAACTAGGAAAATGGGTTTATTTATCTGTGGAATGACCAGGGTGGGACAAAGGACTCTTGTCTGTTGGAGCTAGGTGTGAATGTTTCAATTGACCACCTTGATTAGCATTTGATGGCCTGGCAGTGCCTGGGGCAATCTTTTGTTGAGAGGTGATTAGATGTCCCAGGTTGTTTCCTCTCTGATGTTTTGCTGAGTTTTTTAATACTGGTAGCCAGATTCTGGCCATGAAAGCCTTCAACAATACAAGCTACAATAAGATTTCTTAAGTTTTTCTGATAAAGGAAGAATTCTGTTATGTCTGCAGACACACTCTTGTGAAATGTAGTGGGAGGGTGAGAAGGAGCTGACTCTCCCATCTTGCCTCTTGCAGGCTCATTAATGTCACCATCCAGTTCAAGCTGAAAGCCATCAACATACAAACAATAATCAACAATGAGATCCCAGACTGCTACACCTTTTCCATTACAGTGAGTAACTATGTTTGGGAAGATGATGTCTTTGCCTCTTTGTCTGAGTCGGAAGGTTGTCACTAACTTCCTGAAGCAAAAAGCAGAAAGATTCAGGTCTAGGACTTTTGTTGTTTGGGCTATCAACACTTCCCCTTCTTTTTCTTCTGGGAGGTACAACGGGCATGACATATCTTAGGGGACTCAGTTCTGGGACCCAAAGCAGATACCATGAGCAATTGCACCCCATATTATTAAATGGCGCTCTTCAGTCTATCTGTTCATGTCACCTCCATTTACTAATGTGAGGCATGGTGACTTGTGGTCACTAGCATTCATGGATACAGATCCTGTAGATCAGGGGTCCACAAACTAAGGCCTGGGGCCCGGATACGGCCCTCCAAGGTCATTTACCCGGCCCTTGCTACGTCTGAAATGACTTGAAAGCACACAACAACATCGTATCTCATCAGCCAAAAGCAGGCCCACACTTCCCACTGAAATACTAATAAGTTTATATTTGTTAAAATTGTTCTTCGATTTAATTATTATATTGTTTTTAAGTGTTTTTTTTGCACTACAAATACGATATGTGCAGTGTGCATAGGAATTCATTCATGTTTTTTTCAAATTATAATCCGGCCCTCCAACAGTTTGAGGGACTGTGACCAGGCCCTCTGTTTAAGAAGTTTGAGGACCCTTGCTATAGACCATGGGTCCTCAAACTAAGGCCCAGGGGCCGGATACGGCCCTCCAAGGTCATTTACCCGACAGGAGCAGGATTCAAAACGATCTTGACAGATTAGAGAGATGGGCCAAAACTAACAAAATGAAGTTCGATAGTGACAAATGCAAGATACTCCATTTTGGCAGGAAAAACGAAATGCAAAGATACAGAATGGGGGACGATGCCTGGCTCGAGAGCAGTACGTGTGAAAAAGATCTTGGAGTCCTCGTGGACAACAAGTTAAACATGAGCCAACAATGTGATGTGGCGGCAAAAAAAGCCAATGAGATCTTGGCCTGCATCAATAGGAGCATAGTGTCTAGATCCAGGGAAGTAATGCTACCCCTCTATTCTGCTTTGGTTAGACCACACCTGGAATATTGTGTCCAATTCTGGGCACCACAATTCAAGAGAGATATTGACAATCTGGAATGTGTCCAGAGGAGGGAGACTAAAATGATCAAGGGTCTGGAGAACAAGCCCTATAAGGAGCGGCTTAGGGAGCTGGGCATGTTTAGCCTGAAGTAGAGAAGGCTGAGAGGAGATATGATAGCCATGTATAAATATGTGAGAGGAAGCCACAGGGAGGAGGGAGCAAGCTTGTTTTCTGCTTCCTTGGAGACTAGGACGCGGAACAATGGCTTCAAACTACAAGAAAGGAGATTCCATCTGAACATTAGGAAGAACTTCCTGACTGTGAGAGCCGTTCAGCAGTGGAACTCTCTGCCCCGGAGTGTGGTGGAGGCTCCTTCTTTGGAAGCTTTTAAGCAGAGGCTGGATGGCCATCTGTCAGGGGTGATTTGAATGCAATATTCCTGCTTCTTGGCAGGGGGTTGGACTGGATGGCCCATGAGGTCTCTTCCAACTCTTTGATTCTATGATTCTCTCAGGGTCAGCCTAAGTCTGAAATGACTTGAAAGCACATAACAACAATAACAATCTTGTCTCATCAGCCAAAGCAGATCCACACTTCCCATTGAAATACTCATAAGTTTATATTTGTTAAAATTGTTCTTCATTTTAATTTTTGTATTGTTTTTAAGTGTTTTTTGCACTACAATTAAGATATGTGCAGCGTGTATAGGAATTAAGTCGTGTTTTTTTTTTTTTTCAAATTATAATCCGGCTCTCCAACAGTTTGAGGAACTGTGACTTGGTCATTCTTCCCTTATTTTGCTCTATTTCATCTAGATCACATTAGACAACAAAGCACACAGTGGTCGAGTGAAGATCCACTTGGACAACAAAGTGGACATCCAGGAGTGCAAAGACCCAAGTGTCTATGGCAAAGGTACTCATGAGGAATTGGGGCAACAAGCATAAACTCCCTTTGGAAAGTATCTGCCTTGAGTGACTGTTTAGAAGAGAAAGGCCATCAGTTCAGAATATACCTCAACCTCCCCATCTTATACATAACAGGCAGTGGCCAATGCCACACCTCATTTATGAACCCATTGAGTATGTCTTTTATTATGGCTGTCTGTTATTGGGCCAATTCGTTATTAAAGCCACTCAGTTTAGTTGATTAAAATCAGTCTTAAGGTGATGAATCTGTAATACTTAAATGATTGGTTTGCTTTGGTGGTCAGTCCCATGGGCTGATCTCACTTTCAGCAACAACATGTTGTTCACTTTCAAGCATATTGAGATAATATTTTTGTCTCATGTTGATCAGTTTAAAACGTTTAATTACACATTACATTTGTATGCTGCCTTTTTCCCAGAGTCAATCCAAAGCAGCTCATCATTGCCTATACACTGGTTATCTTTTTCCTCTTTCAGTCTGAATGCCTCAATCTCTCATATATGTTTACATCACAAATCCATTCCATTGTTCTTTTTGTGGATGGTCTTGAATTGACTAACTGCATACTGTATTCCAAGAACAGCATAGATTTATATAATAGCATGTTTATACAGCTGCTCTTCCACATTGGCTGGCTTAACGTTTGTGGATTTGATTATTTGTGGATGTAATCAATATGGTTTTTCTAGGAATCTGTAGGCACTATGCTTAACTTCCTATTGCAGTTGACCATCAAGTCAAATTGGAGAACCTAGATATTCTTTTAAAAGTGTGCCTTGGGTGAAAAATACCGTATACCAGGGTACTAGATGCGAGAAGATCCAACCAGTCCATCCTCCAGGAAATAAAGCCCGGCTGCTCACTGGAGGGAAGGATACTAGAGACAAAGTTGAAGTACTTTGGCCACATCATGAGGAGACAGCAAAGCCTAGAGAAGACAATTATGTTGGGGAAGGTGGAAGGTGGAAGGCAAAAGGAAGAGGGGCCAACCAAGGGCAAGATGGATGGATGGCATCCTTGAAGTGACTGGACTGACCTTGAAGGAGCTGGGGGTGGTGACGGCCGACAGGGAGCTCTGGCGTGGGCTGGTCCATGAGGTCACGAAGAGTCGGAGACGACTGAATGAATGAACAACAACAACAGATGACTTTTTAGACATGTAAAACCTTATAAAAAGTCGGTGGTCGTCTAGTACGGCGGGTATAAAATTAAAATAATAAGAAAATTAAAAATGATGGCTCCCAGAATGCCTCAGCGAGCCCATCTCAGGCACGCCGCAGCCCTTGGGGGTCTCTCCCTCCTCCTCCTCACCGGTGGAGCCTCTTGGTGTGGAGGGTCTTGGCCTCGGGCTCCCCTCTCCTGCCTGCTCCTCCTCCACTGCCTTGGCTCATGGCGGCCTCCCAGGCGGGCTCCCCGTCCTTCCTCCCTTCCTGGCTGCCTTCCTTGTCTCGAGGGAGAAGAGGCAATGGTGATTTCTTTTCCTGACCAGGTCTCGCGAGAAGGGCCTCTGCTCAGGCCATTCTCCTTCTTCCCGGCCAGGCCTCGCGAGAAGCGCCTCTTCTCCCGCGAGACAACATTGCGCCTCTGCTTCTGGGAGGCAGAGGCGTGATGGCAGCGGAGTGGGTCCAGGAGGAAGGAGAGCAGCCTGAGCAGGGTGGGAGGCCCTTCCGGAGGCAGCATGAAGCAGCCCAGAGGCCCAGGGGCAACCGCACACCAGGCTTAGAGGACAGGAAAAAGAAACCACCTGGCTGGAATGCGGAGTCGTCTTAAACGACGAGTATATCCCTAGAGACAAAGTTGAAGTACTTTGGCCACATCATGAGGAGACAGCAAAGCCTGGAGAAGACAATTATGCTGGGGAAAGTGGAAGGCAAAAGGAAGAGGGGCCAACCAAGGGCAAGATGGATGGACGGCATCCTTGAAGTGACTGGACTGACCTTGAAGGAGCTGGGGGTGGTGACGGCCGACAGGGAGCTCTGGCGTGGGCTGGTCCATGAGGTCACGAGTCGGAAACAACTGAACGAATGAACAACAACATATCCCTAACTCTCTGTTTTGTGTGTAAAAGTTGGGGGGGGGGTCGTCTTTTAGTCCCAGTACTAGTACCCCGGAATATACGGTAAGTATTTTTTTAATTCACTGCTTTTTCACTTCCACTGGAGTCTTTTAATCCTAATCCCAGCTAGTATGGAAAGCACAAGCCACTGTATTATTTTCATCTTCATTTCTTATTCTAGGCTGGCCCCTTTTTTATTGTTCCAGTTCAGTGGCTTGTGTTTTCTGCATCATAGATATTTGGGGCAGTGAGAGGGCTGTATCAATTCACTCAGTTCTCTCTTCTGTGTCCCTTTTCCCTTCTCACTCCTTTGTGGTGGGTCATTGCACTCTCCCTCTCTTGTGCTTCAATTAATATTCTAGTTTCTCAGCCAAACGGCTGCTTCAGATTCCATGTGCCACCTTGGCATCACTTTTCTTGCCTTCTCACTCTTCTCTACATGCCCCTATCTCCTCTTGCATCAAGCTTGCTCAGATTGTAACATCTATGCATGGTGAACATCATTTTGTAGCTCTCTTCTTCCTTGCTTGGCACATTCCAAAAGCTTACCCCTCTCGTCCTCCCTTCTTACAGGAGGCAACGGTTTCCGGATGTTCTTTGACGTGATTGTGCTCCTGATCTGTGTGCTGTCCTTCATCTTGTGTTCCCGCTCAATCTTCAGGGGGCTTCTGCTGCAGCATGTGAGCACTGCCGGGATGGGGCACCACAACCTCACAGAATGAGTTTAGGCATAAATCACAGGCATATGTGACTAAGGTTAAGTCCAAACCACCTGTACAAAACAACAGCTCAAAATGTTTGTTAAATGTTAAAATCCAAGGCTGCAGTAGATCTGAGAGGGCAGCTGCATTTCTTCTATTTGAAACTTTCACTACCACATTCTCCTTTGTCATTCCCCCAATCCCGTGATAGATGCATCAGTCATTGCTATATATGAGTTGTGGTGTTTGTGGTCAACATGCTTGTGCACTTGTAAAGTGTGGTGCTGCTAGTTGAGCTAGGTGAGATCAGTTCAGCTAGAGACTTGGTCTTAGTGATTCTGGGTTGTTGTAGGTTTTTTTGGGCGATATGGCCATGTTCTAAAGGCATTTTCTCCTGACGTTTCACCTGCATCTATGGCAAGCATCCTCAGAGGTAGTGAGGATGTTCCAACAGACCTCACTACCTCTGAGGATGCTTGCCATAGATGCAGGCGAAACATCAGGAGAAAATGCCTTTAGAACATGGCCATATAGCCCGAAAAAACCTACAACCACCCAGTGATTCCGGCCATGAAAGCCTTCGACAATACTTAGTGATTCTGTTTGTGGTTAGAAAATCCATTCCAGTAAGAAAGGGCTGAGCCCTTTGTACCTCCTCACGTACCTTCTTAGCCTAGTAAGAGATAGATTTTCCAGCCAAGAGAGTAATAATAGTAATAATAATAATAATCATCATCATCTTTATTTATACCCCGCCACCATCTCCCCAAGGGGACTCAGGGCGGCTTACATGAGGCCAAGCCCAACAACACATCAGTAAAACAACAAAGCAGTAAGCAAATAAAAAATATAATTAATATAACTCTCATATAAACAGTAACATAAAAAATTAAAAACCTTAAGGCTGGGCCATATGTAATAGATTAAAATTTTAAAATAAACACTGGGCGTGAACAGAGGTAGAATGTATCTAAGCAGGAGGGTTTTAAAGGAAATGTAGGGAGAGCAACCCAGCGGGTAGTTAAAGTGCTTCTGAGGACATTTTGCAGGGAATTGTTTCCTTTATTCAGGGAAGGCACACTGGAACAGCCATGTTTTCAGGCTCCTCCTAAAGACTGCCAATGTGGGGGCTTACCTGATATCCTTGGGGAGTGAGTTCCAGAGTCGGGGGGCCACCATAGAGAAGGCCCTCTCCCTCGTCCCCACCAATCGCACCTGTGAAGGAGATGAGAACAAGAGCAGGGCCTCTCCGGATGATTGAAGTGATCGTGTGGGTTCGTACACAGAAATGCAGTCACGCAGGTAGGCGGGTCGCAAACCATTTAGGGCTTTGTAGGTAAGAACCTGCACCTTGAATTGGGACCGGAAAATGAACGGCAACCAGTGGAGCTCCTTAAACAGGGGGGTTGAGTGCTCCCTGTAAGTCGCTCCAGTTAGTAACCTGGCTGCCACCCGTTGTACCAATTGAAATTTCCAAACCGTCTTCAAGGACAGCCCCACGTAGAATGCATTACACTAATCCAATCAGACCATTGGTCTGGTTGCCCCTGACACGATAAATAAAATAAATAAATAAATAAATAAAGTAATCCAATCTGGAGGTGACTAGGGCATGAACCACCCTGGCCAGTTCCGACTTCACAAGGTACAGTCGCAGTTGGCGCACAAGTCTTAATTGTGGGAAGGCCCTCCCAGCCACCGCCGATGCCTGGGCTTCAAGTACATGAACTACCCCACGTGTACTGCAATATTCTCTTCAAAATATGCTATTGATCTTCGAAACTTAGCAGCATTGTAAAAAAAGCTAGGTGCTACATTACACGTGGGGTAGGTACAGCTTTGTGTTTGGGGGAAAGTGGGCAGCTCATTGGAAGCACTTTTTCCTCATACAGGAATTCACTCAGTTCTTCCAGCACCGCTACAACCAAGACATCTGCCTGTCTGACCGCATGGAGTTTGTGAATGGCTGGTACATCCTGCTTGTGGTGAGCGACATCATGACTGTATCTGGGACCATAATGAAGATTGGGATTGAGTCCAAGGTAAGGAAATGGCCTGTAGAGTAGGATCTTTCTTTTCTTTCCTTTCTTTTAATTGTTTTTAAAAATGCAAAATACTTAATACAATGTACTGTTACAATTGTATTGTTGCATCATCTCTTCCCAGATCTGTACTCTCCACCCCTGCCTCCATTGTTCACATAGCTTTTATAAATACAACTCTGTCAGTTCTGTCAGTTGAATTATGCATAAGGAGATTCTTGGCAGGGGGTTGGACCGGATGGCCCATGAAGTCTCTTCCAACTATAGGATTCTATGATTCTGGGCTGCAGGGTGAACTACACGTAACTTCCTGCCGGTGCCTACACAATAGCCCTGTGTAAAACGTTGCATGTTGTTTGTTTGCAGAACTTTGCCAACTATGATGTGTGTGGCATCCTTTTGGGCACCTCTACACTCTTGGTCTGGGTTGGTGTCATGCGCTACCTGAGCTTCTTCCAGAAGTACAATGTGAGTTGAGCATCACTCCTCTCCCTCCTCCCCTGATCTTATATCTGAAATGGTTTCTTGGATTTCCTTTAAAAAAATTGAGATTCTTGGGGTGATGTATTCTGAGCACCACTGAAAATATTCTGTTGTTTTGTGGTGCTCTGTATTTATTTATTTATTATTCGAACTTATATGCCGCCACTCCCCTGGAGCTCGGAGCAGCTTACAAGAACAGGCTAAAATCGAACAAGTAAAAACAATTTAAAAACAGCAATATCAAAAATCAAAGGCCTGTCGAAACAGGTATGTCTTACAAGCCCTGCGGAAAGCTGATAAGTCCCGCAAGACACGGACTTCAGGTGGCATAGTATTCCAGAGTGATGGTGCCACTGCTGTAAAGGCTCTGCGTCTGGATGCTGTTAGACGCAAGGTCTTGACATTGGGAATTTCCAACAAATCTTGGTCCTCAGAATGGAGGGATCTCTGGGGTTGGTAGGGGGTGAGGCGGTCTTTCAGGTACATCGGCCCCAGACCATGCAAGGCCTTAAAGGTGAGTACCATCACTTTGAAAGGGATCTGGTGCTCAATTGGTAACCAATGCAGCTGTAGTAAGATTGGTGTTATGTGGCATCTCATCGGAATTCCAACAAGAAGCCGAGCAGCTGCATTTTGTACCAACTTGAGCTTTCGGATCACCGATAGAGGAAGGCCAATGTAGAGGGCGTTATAGTAGTCCAGTCTTGAGATAACCGTAGCCTGGATCACCGTAGCTAGGTCGTCCCTGGACAAGTAGGGGGCCAGCCGTCTAACCTGCCGCAGAAGAAAGAAGGCGGTTCTGCTAACGGCGGAGACCTGGGCCTCCATTGTCAGCAGAGGGTCCAAAAGGACTCCCAGACTCTTTACCAATGATGACGGGCGTAGCGCCTCGCCATCCAGGATAGGCAGCTGGATATCCCCCCTGCCCGGTCGACCCAGACATAGGATCTCCGTCTTTGCTGGATTAACCCTCAACCTGCTGGCACGCAGCCATCCAGTAACGGCCTCGGGGCACTGATGGAAACAATCGGGTACAGAGTTCGGTCGGCCTTCCATCTTCAGCACCAGCTGAGTGTCATCAGCGTACTGGTAACACTCAAGCCCAAAACCTCAAACCAGCTGAGCAAGTGGTCGCATATAGATGTTAAACAGCAGAGGGGAGAGAATGGCCCCCTGAGGAACCCCACAAGATAGAGGGGACCTCTCAGAGACCAGGCCTCCCCTCGCTGTCCATGGTGGAGAGGAGGACAACCAGTTTAAAGCTGTCCCCCTGACTGCAGCAACAGCAAGGTGGTGGGTCAAAAGATAGTGGTCGACTGTGTCAAATGCTGCTGTGAGATCCAATAACACAAGCAGCGCTGACCCGCCCTGGTCAAGCTGGCATCGAAGGTGATCCGTGATGGAGACCAGCACAGTCCCTGTATCTGATTGTATTTGCCCCAATGCTCCTTGCAACCTCAGTTTTCCTTAATCGAACCACAGGTGACTTTAGCAAGGCAATCTTGCATACATAGCGCTATTGTGGAACTTGGATTTGTGTTTACCAGGCTAGTCCAGGAATATATTTTCTTCTTGCTTCATGTCACCCTAGATCCTCATTGTCACCATGCGGGTTGCCTTCCCCAACGTCATCCGTTTCTGTTGCTGCGTGGCAGTTATCTACCTGGGCTACTGCTTCTGTGGTTGGATTGTCCTGGGACCCTACCATGTCAAGGTATATTGGAAAGAGGAATGTTATTCCTGTATGAGAGCGACCATTCCCGGAGTCTGCGCTTGGAGATTCTGGCTCAAATGGCACTGGCTTGCAAGACACAGCCTTTGATGGAGCTTTGGAACTAGAGTTGCATTTTTGAAGTATGCAGGAAGAACTACATTCAAGGCTCATCCCCTCTTCTGCAGGATTTCCTGTAGTCAATTTACCTGTCATATAGAAGAAGCAACAACAACAAAACTTTATTTATATACCTCTCTATCTCCTCAAGGGGACTCAGAGCAGTTTCCAAGTGACATAATCAATACATACAGAGAGAACAGCATGAACATAAAATCAACAAGACAAAATAAGCATTAAAAACCACAATAGCACATATATTTAAAATAATCCTGCCTGTTCAAGGCAGTTTAAAAGGCTGGGCCAGGCTAATACGATTTTAGAGAGCCCAGGAAATTAGGTAGAGTCTATGGCTGTACATTTCCAGGGCCTAATAGAAGAAAGTGATCTGGGTAATTGGTAGAAAAAGATATGGCCAATTTCTACAGTATCTGGGGCAGAGCTAGAACTAATCTTTCTCAAAGGTTTGTTTAAACCACCAGGTCTTCAGGCTCTTAAGAAAGGAGGGGAGGGATGGGGCCTGTTTTATTTCTCTAGGAAGGGCGTTCCACAGACGGGGGGACACCACCGAAAAGGCCTCTCTCTTATCCCCACCAACTGTGCTTGTGATGGTGGTGGGAGGGAAAGGAGGGCCTTCCCGGAAGATCTTAAAGTTCGCGCCGGTTCATAGAGCGAGATGCGATCGCGAAGATAGGCGGGGCCGAACCATAAGCACTCTTAATTTCTTGTCACTGTCCAGCTAAAAATGCCCCTGTTTTTTTTCCAGTTTGTGTTTTGTGTCCAGTTTCAGGATCTTACCCACTCCTCACTTCCATCTCTGCTCTTTTTTTAAAAAAAAAATCTAGTTCCGTACCCTTTCGATGGTGTCAGAGTGCCTTTTCTCTCTCATCAATGGAGACGACATGTTTGTGACCTTTGCATCCATGCAACAGAGCAGCTACTTGGTCTGGCTTTTCAGCCAGCTCTACCTATATACCTTCATCAGCCTTTTCATCTACATGGTGCTCAGCCTTTTCATTGCACTCATCACTGGCTCTTATGAGACCATCAAGGTAAGTCTTTCCAGGGAACTATCTTGCCGTAGAGCTGGAGCTGAGCAGCTTCATTCAGAAGTTTTAACAAAGTGCTGCCTCTAGGACCTGGATTTGTATGGCTTTCATCTTCCAGGATTATCTGAGCTGCAACACAGATAGGCATGGCAGGGAAGAGCTGTTTATTTCAGTCCCCTAGTACAGAGGTCCTCAAACTTTTTAAACAGAGGGCCAGGTCACAGGCCTTCAAACTGTTGGAGGGCCGGATTATAATTTGAAAAAAACATGAATGAATTCCTATGCACACTGGACATTCCATAGATATATAAACCCCATTTTCCTAGTTTCAAACAGACCTCACAACCTCTGAGGATACCTGCCATAGATGCAGGCAAAATGTCAGGAGAGAATGCTTCTAGAACATGGACACACAGCACGAAAAACCTACAACAACCCTGCACATATCTCATTTGTAGTGCAAAAAACACTTTAAAACAATACAATAATTAAAATGAAGAACAATTTTAACAAATATAAACTTATTAATATTTCAATGGCAAGTGTGGAACTGCTTTTGGCTGATGAGATAGGATTGTTGTTGTTGTTGTGTACTTTCAAATCGTTTCGGGCTTAGATTGACCCTGAGTGAGGGCCGAGTAAATGACCTTGGAGGGCCATATCCGGCCCCCGGGCCTTAGTTTGAGGTTCCCTGCCCTAGTATATACCTAGAAAAACTTTTCTGGATGTCTGGATTTGCCAGGGTCTCCAGTGTCCTGTCCTGTTGAATAATAATAATCAGAGTGGTCATCTCAGGATCTGGCACAAATGCCTCACACAACCTCTTCTGTTTTTTCAGCATCAGTCTGAGGGAGAAGCGACTGTTACACAGCTCCATGCCTATATAGCTGAGTGCAAGGACAGCCCCAAATCTGGCAAGTTCCGCAGGGAGAGTGCTTCCTCATGCTCCATCTTCTGCTGTTGTGAGCGGTAAGTTTGTACGGAGACAGAGACAGAGACAAAGCAAACAAGATATACAGGGTGATGCAGCATAACTTCCTTTTTTTCAAAACTTCATAAAAATCATTGTATGAATCAGAAATTTTTATTTTTTTATAATGTAGGCGCATACCTAAAGTTTTGTTTTACGTAGTTTTGAAGATAAAATTAAGTAAGTAACGTCCCCCATTCTCCATTCTCCATACACTGAGTAAACCGCTTTCTGACGTTTGTCATGACTCTTGGCAGCATAGCAGGCGTTATGTTGGCAATTTCTTCCTGGATGTTGGTCTTCAAATCTTGTAGGGTCTTTGGACGGTTCACACAAACACGGGATTTCAAAAAATTCCCATAGGGAAAAATCACAAGGGGCCAAATCTGGAGAGTGGGCCGGCCACTCCAAATCCGCTCAAAAAGTAGGCCTCAACGGCCAAAGCACACTCCTCACTGTTCCAACGCATGATGGCGACTGAACGGTGTCAGGATAAAACTTTATACTCCCGCCTCTCGAACGAGACCCCTAGCGCTCCGCTATGTCTTCAGCCGACTGAATGGCACGCATTTTAAAAAAGGAAGTTATGCTGCCTCACCCTGTATTATTATTATTATTATGACACAAAAACACAGTATGACAACGCAAACAAGATATTTATGCTGGATTTCATATCACAAAATCACATGGCAGAATGCGGTTGGACTGGATGACACCTCTTCCACTGAAATACTGTTATTTGATCAAAAAGTTTGTCCATGTCTGATACATATATATAATATATACTATCATATATAAACATTTCTTGGAGATCCACAATAAACTTTTGCTTCAATAAGGTCTCTGCTGCTGAAAAGATTTGAAAACCCCTGTTGTAGAGCATTGGCTGCCTCCCCTATGTCAGGAGGCTGATTGTTCCATGTAAACAGCTAGGGTCACAGCAACAGAATCAACAAAGACCCAATACTCTTGTATTCACTGTTACCTCTGCAGTAAGAGCAGAGGTGCTCTGAAGTATCTAGACCGAACTTTCAGAATTTATAGATCCACTAGCTGTCCCCTGCCACGCATTGCTGTGGCCCACTCTGTGGTCATGGGGGTTCTGTGTGGGAGGTTTGGCCCAATTCTATCATTGGTGGGGTTCAGAATGCTCTGTGATTGTAGGTGAACTACAAATCCCAGCAACTACAACTCCCAAATGTCAAGATTCTATTTTCCCCAAACTCCGCCAGTGTTCACATTTGGGCATATTGAGTATTCGTGTACAGTTTGGTCCAGATCCATCATTGCTTGAGTCCACAGTGCTCTCTGGATATAGGTGAACTACAACTCCAAAACTCAAGGTCAATGCTCACCAAACTTCCAGTATTCTCTGTTGGTCATGGGAGTTCTGTGCCAAGAAGCAGGAATATTGCCTTCAAAGCACCCCTGACAGACGGCCATCCAGCCTCTGTTTAAAAGCTTCCAAAGAAGGAGCCTCCACCACACTCTGGAGCAAAGAGTTCCACTGCTGAACGGCTCTCACAGTCAGGAAGTTCTTCCTCATGTTCAGATGGAATCTCCTTTCTTGTAATTTGAACTCGTCTCCTCTCTTTCCTCTCCTTTACAGAACCCCGTTGCAGGAGAATGTGCTGGTGGTGAACTGAAAGGGGGCTGCCTTGCCTCATTCCTTGTGAGATACAAATTGGCCTGATTATGGACTCCTGTGACTGATGAGAATGAGGCCTGCTGTCCTCTTTTTTGGCAAAAACCAAGCCGTTGCATACCATTGTCTCCTGTGAGCCAATGCCACTTCCACACAGAGTTGCTGAGATACTGGGACTGACTTTGGTATCTGAACAGAACTGGGCCTGGGCAGGGAGTGGAGTTTCAGGCCGTGTGGGACTGAGAGATTTACCAAACAGCAACAGTTTTTAAAGGTTTATTTTGGAAGAAAAATGTCAAGTAGCAAGGATGTGGTTTTCAAGGGCCGTCAAGCATTCTGCCCGTAGGTTTCCACTACAGATAATTTATTTCCCACAGAAAGATTGACACGGGGGTGTCTGCAAAGCAAGGCCCCCAGAACAGTTTCACATATGACTAGAACCTGAGAGGTTCAGGATGCAATGGAATAAAAATTAACCAAGCCCCGAATACATCGGAACAGGCGGGGAGGGATTTTTAAAAGACTGGACTGAAGGCAAAGGCTTTCCCTGTCTCAAGAGCACAACTACATTGTCTGTCCAATCTATTCTACTCATTCGTGAGGAGGCCTTGTTTAGATTACTTAGCTTGGCTGGAATCCTGTTCTAGATCAGACGGTGGTGCCGGCATAGAGAAAGTACCATTTTCAATGTATTGTCGAAGGCTTTCATGGCCGGAATCATTGGGTTGTTGTACATTTTTTCGGTCTATATTGCCATGGCCTAGAGGCATTTTCTCCTTGCCTGCATCTATGGCAAGCATCCTCGGAGGTTGTGAGGTCTGTTGGAAGTAGGAAAATGAGTTTATATATCTGTGGAATGACCAGGGTGAGACAAAGGACTTTTGTCTGCTGGAGCTAGGTGTGAATGTTTCAACTGACCACCTTGATTAGCATTTAATGGCTTGGAAGTGCCTGGGGGAATCTTTTTTTGTTGAGAGGTGATTTGATGTGCCTGATTGTTTACTCTCTGTTGTTTTGCTGTTGTAATTTTAGAGTTTTTTTTAATACTGGTAGCCAGATTTTGTTCATTTTCATGGTTTCCTCCTTTCTGTTGAAATTGTCCACATGCTTGTGGATTTCAATGGCTTCTCTGTGTAGTCTGACATGGTGGTTGTGAGAGTGGTCCAGCATTTCTGTGTTCTCAAATAATATGCTGTGTCCAGGCTGGTTCATCAGGTGCTCTGCTATGGCTGACTTCTCTGGTTGAAGTAGTCTGCAGTGCCTTTCATGTTCCTTGATTCGTGTGTTGGGCAATGCTGCGTTTGGTGGTCCCTATGTAGACTTGTCCACAGCTGCATGGTATACGGTAGACTCTGCAGAAGTGAGAGGATCCCTCTTGTCCTTTGCTGAACGTAGCATTTGTTGGATTTTCTTGGTGGGTCTGTAGATAGTTTGTATGTTGTGTTTCCTCATCAGCTTCCCTATGCGGTCAGTGGTTCCCTTGATGTATGGCAGGAACACTTTTCCTCTGGGTGGATCTTCATCTTTACTCTCGTGGCTTGTTCTTGGTCTTGCAGCTCTTCCGATGTCTGAGGTGGAGTCTCCATTGGCCTGGAGAGCCCAGTTGAGGTGGTTCAGTTCATCTTGGAGGAGGTGGGGTTCGCAGATTCTTTTTGCACGGTCTGCCAAGGCTTTAATGGTGCTTCTTTTTTGACTTGGGTGATGGTTGGAGTTTTTATGTAGATATCTATCTCCGTGTGTGGGTTTTCTGTAAACGGTGTGACCCAATTGTTGATCTGGTTTACAGAAAACCCACACACACAGATAGATTAAATGCTAATCAAGGTGGTCAGTTGAAACATTCACACCTAGCTCCAGCAGCCACCCTAGTCATTCCACAGATATATAAACCCATTTTCCTACTTCCAACAGACCTCACTACCTCTGAGGATGCTTGCCATAGATGCAGGTGAAACGTCAAGAGAAAATGCCTCTAGACCATGGCCATATAGCCCGAAAAAACCTACAACCCAGTACCATTTCCCCCACTCTACAGATGTCCTGGTAGCTGCCATGATCCTTGAGACAATCCTTGTAATCATGTATTGGCAGTCGAGTTCTCTCCCTGGCATTGCCTCCAAAATGTTGCAGATGAAGACCGAGGCATGCTCATTGTTAATGCCTTAAATTGCAAGGACGTCCCATTTAAGCTGTGTGTGTGGTTTGACCACCAGTGCTTTTTTAACATAGCATTTTGCAGGAAGGCATACAGGACTGCTAAGAACACTAAGTTTTTGTAGCTGTCAGCCGGGTACTGAGATACTTTTTGCGTGCACACAATTGCACTCAGGTAACAGAGATGCCAACACTATATGCCAATGTTTTGGATGAGAAGCTGCCCCAGCTCGCTGTGGTTGTTGAAATGTGGAAGATTGCCATCTATGATCCAGAGGGGTTTCACAGCCTCCACCAGATCTTCCAGAAACCATTGGCTCCTGAGCTGGGCTTCCCTTTAAGCAAATCATAAAACAGTTGGCTTTAAGCTGCACATCCCAAAGCATTACCATTTCCACAGCTGTTTCCGTATACCATTTTCAAAAACAAGCTCCATTGCAGAAGATGAGAAGCACCCGGAGACTTTTTTTTAAGTGCAGGGGTGTCTACGGCTGTGTTTACTTTGTTGACGCTGGAGCGATTCCTTTCTGCTTGCGATTCATGAATTGTGAGAAAAGTATTTGTTGACCACTCTAGCACTGTGGCCAATTTTTATAGCATTTGTTTTGTAGATGTGGAACCAACATGGAGACCGTACTAATTTAGGATTTCGTTGTTAGTGTAATTTATGAAACAAAGTGCAATTCTAATTATTTATAGCTAACAGTGTTATTCAAATATAAAAGTATGAGAAAAACACAGAAGAGTTCGGCAGTTCTTTTTGTATCTTGGAACCCTCAAGATTTCCTCAAATAATCCTAAGGATAAGTTTTATTTCATACATGCATAACAACTATAAATGACTACTTGGTTTTAAAATGTGGTCCTCTATGATGCTATTTATTTATCGTGTCAGGAGCAAGCCAAACAGTTGTATTGTATTTTTTAACAAACAAACAAACAAACAACAAAGTTTGCAAGCTTGGTAGTTGATTAAATGTCCTTTGACCACTTGGAGTGCCTCTGGTGTTACTATAAAAAGGTCCTCCATTGTGCATGTGGCAGGGCTCAGGTTGCATTGCAGCAGATGGGCTGTGGTTTGCTCTTCTCCACACTCGCATGTCGAGGATTCCACTTTGTGGCCCCATTTCTTAAGGTTGGTTCTGCATCTCGTGGTGCCAGAGCGCAGTCTGTTCAGCGCTTTCCAAGTCGCCCAGTCCCGGCGGAGGAGATCCCTGAGGACCGCTCAAAAGGGCCCTGGAACCTTGGTGAGGCCAGCGAAAGCCAATCCAAAGAGTAAAAATGTTACAAATAATAATGCCTCATCAAGGTGGAAGAAGTTTCCAGCAACCGAGGTTTATTCGTGATTCAGCTGAGATCAGATGCATTGCAGGAATCATTCCGCTGCAAGCATACCAGTACAAAGAATACAGGCATATTTATAGCATGCAGACAAAGGGAAACAGTTTCAAAATTCCCGCCCGCCCTCTGCCGGCCGGCTTCGTGCTGATTGGCTGGCCGCAGAACAGCTGGGAGGAGGCTTGGCGGCACGCCTCGCCCCCGGACCAATCAGCGGGCTCCGCCGCCTCTGGGGGGCCAATCAGTGCCTTCCTAGCGCTTCTGAAGATGGGCCAATCAGCAGCTAGGAGGCGGGACGAAGCTTGACAATGGCTGAGGAAATGATGAGCTTAGGGGCATCCGCCAGCTGGAATGTGAGGCTTTTGTCCTCACTGGCAGGGTGTGAGATAAGGGAATAATGGGTTTCCTGGTCTGTGATGGGATTTGAAGGAAATATGAAAAGGCTTTTTCGATATCGGACCTCAGGGGGGATCAACGATATCTTGATGATTTAATCAATCTTTTCTTTCCGAGTTTCTGTTGACCCCCTCCCCTTGCTGGTCTTGCTCCGAGGGCCAGGGTTGGGGATCAACAGTATTGTCCATGCTGGTGAATTAATCAAGGGTGATTGAGGGAGAGGCTGGAGCCCTCCCTCAGGCAGTTCCTGGTCACAGCAGTTTTTGTGGGTCAAGGGGACAAGGGTACAGAGGAAATTCATAAGGTTACATACATATATCAAAATCATAGGCAATAGGCACCACTGATACAGAGTTAGTTCATAAGAGGAACCCCCATCCCACCCCATAAAGTTTATTTCAATATCTGATCTTTATTAAGGTCCAAACTGGAAATCCCATGCTCTTAGGAAGGGCGTGTGGAAACAGAGGTTGCTAGCAGTTCAAATCAAGCATTGATAGAAAGTTCATGGCCAGGGTTGTGGCAAACAGTCCAGTCCACTCAGCAGAGAGTCATGGATTCAGGCTGGAATCAGCAGATGGGCGCTGAGTTGATCAATAACAGAATCCATCGCTCAGCCCTTGGGGAACTACAACTCTCACAAAAGGGCAGAAGTCCCAAGATCCAGCCATTTCCCAAAAAGCCTCGTGGGGTCCTTGTTGTTGTCAGTGCCTTGGCAATGTGGCCAAGACTTAACCCTTGTTGTGTAGTCTGGTGACCTTGCCCTTTGCAGAACTATAAGTCCTTATCCCTTAATTCTGAGGGGGGGGGGGTGCCTGACATCATCTGTAGATCTTCGAAAACTATTTCTTGATTTAAGTCATTGATGTGCTGGCTGATACCCAAACAGGGGATGAGCTGGAGATGTCTCTGCCTTGGTCCTTTCACTATTGGCTGCTACTTCCCGACGGATGTCAGGTGGTGCAATACCAGCTAAACAGTGTAATTTCTCCAGTGGTGTAGGGCGCAGACACCCCGTGATAATGCAGCATGTCTCATTAAGAGCCACATCCACTGTTTTAGTGTGGTGAGATGTGTTCCACACTGGGCATGCGTACTCAGCAGCAGAGTAGCACAGCGCAAGGGCAGATGTCTTCACTGTATCTGGTTGTGATCCCCAGGTTGTGCCAGTCAGCTTTCGTATGATATTGTTTCTAGCACCCACTTTTTGCTTGATGTTCAGGCAGTGCTTCTTGTAGGTCAGAGCACGGTCCAGAGTGACTCCCAGGTATTTGGGTGTGCTGCAATGCTCCAGAGGGATTCCTTCCCAGGTGATCCTCAGAGCTCGGGATGCTTGTCTGTTCTTAAGGTGAAAGGCACATGTCTGTGTTTTAGATGGATTAGGAATCAGCTGGTTTTCCCTGTAATAGGCAGTAAGAGCACCTAGAGCTTCGGAGAGCTTTTGTTCAACCATCTCAAAGCTCCCTGCTTGAGCAGTTATGACACGATCTATGCTATGATCTATGTTGCTAAAGCTGGGGAGCAGAATCCTCAGTCTTATCTTCGTCTAGGAATTGTAGCTTTTGCACTAAAAAGAGAAGACAACTTCTGGCATTCCCAGCATC